TTAAACTACAAAATCAAAGAAAAAATACTTAATTTAAATGAGCATAAAAATTCCATTTATATGAGGCATTTTCATGGACATTAGCATGCATTATACTATTTCAAAAATTTTTTTTCTTTTATTGATGATTCATGTAAGAAGTAGTGAGCACGATCTTGTATTTACACGTTGAATATGTTAAAACTTGATCAACGGGTTTTAAATCAACATTTATGCATATACACTCATGATAAAAATTATTATTGTTGTAAGGAATTTTAATTAAAATCCCGACCGTTATATATGAATCTTTCCGAAATGTTTCTACGTGTATTAATTGTTTAAAATATATTGAACTTCTACAATTTCTACAGCTAATATCTCTATATTTTTAAATTACATGTGCAATTTGAATTAGTCATTAAATTGGGGAATTTATATGTGGACGGGGGGGTCTAAATTAGGGGGTTTCAAATAAAATTTGAAAAAAATACAGTCAATCGAATTTATATGTTTAACATTCAAAGAAAATAAGTGAAGTCTTTCATTTCAAATTTTCTTTAAAAGGCATAGTTTTTTGTATGTCAATGTTAACACAGCTATCGCAAGCATGAAAATAAATTAAAGTAATGTTTAAGGATCAAATGACATGTAAGGCCTCAGTAGGAATATTATGTATGAACAAAGAACAAATTTAATTATTGGATTGATATGTGTTAGAACGACTTCTATAATCATAACTAGCTGATTCGGTCCCGTTTCATTGTGGCTTTATCTTGATAAGACCAAACAATATGTATACCGTCAAAAAGGAACTATTGTTCGGTGCAATAATTTTTAAAACTGTAAAGCACCTTTGTTTTGAGATTCATAGTTTTATATGAAAACTAGTATATATTGTATTTATACAATTATTTGAACCGTGTTTGTAGTAGTTCCAAACTGAAAAGCTAATTTAATTTGTTTCATAACTAAACAGTCAGAAAGGAACAAAAAAGCAATTCCATTTGATAGAATCCTTAATTGAAGGAGATAACCCCAGCTATGCTTTAGCTTGTTTTTTTTATATCTAAAACTAAAATATTTTAATTTTGTTATATTCATAGAATATTTATACGTGGAAAGCTTCTGAGTGGAAAGGTTTAGTCATGTTTGGCGTAGTTCGAGGCTTTGGTCCCCGCGGTACCGAGTTCATACCCCTCCAACCACCGCCTGTTAGCTATCTCATATTTATATTGTTGACGCTCTATGCCTATCCTGAATTAATGTGTACCGGATACAAATTTGCGAAGTATGTCGGTGTACAGCAACGGGGTTTGTTTCATTAAATTAGTTAAGTTAATTACATTTCTTTTGTTAGTTCAATGTAAACTATTTAGGCTTCTTGTTTTACTTACATTTTGACAACGCTAGACGTTAAACGGTTTTTACATTATCCCTCTAGTACATCTTCAATAACATAATCAAGTTTTGCAGTGTTAATTGAAATTATTTACAATTATTGCCGGTTAATTTGCCTCAGATAATTTTATTCGATACAATAAGCCCCTCACAGCAAAACATCGCCAGTACATCGTAGACAGTAAATATATATTTTATTTAGAAATAAAAAGGTTAAGTTCATTATACGCGGATCTAAATCAACATGAGGTCTCAGAGGGGTAGTTTTAGTTTCATTAAAACTCATCCGTTAATGATTGTTTACGCTCGCATTGTGCGTGGATGTAATTACTTTTAACCCTCTCCCCCCCCCTTAATGTGCCATCCAACCCCCCTCCCCTTCAACCGTCTCATCAGACACCACTGTTTTGAGTTATGATGTCGAGAACAAAGTAAGTAACCGTAACACATTTGAAAGATTAAATTTATTCAAACAATAATATTACATACTTGAGATTATTAATTACCACTTTTAGCCCACAAAGATGTCCCTCGTACTTTAATAACTGCTTTTATGTGATTAGATTTATTTAATTATAAAATCTAACTCATATAAAATTTATTCATGGTTGATATTTACCCATGAGACATTAATCCCATGAAACAAAAAATGCATTACTCATAACACATTTTTCTGTTTAGTTTCGTTCCTCTAACTTTAAAGTTAATATTTGACTAAGTACACTTCAAATGATTTTCGTTTGAACTCAAACTTAAACGTAAATATATGTTTTAGCTGTTTTGATTTTTTTGTATTATATGGCTTTTTATTTACTAGTATGTATTAAAATAATTCTTTTATTTTCTTACCTATTGATTTTTTGTTTAATCAGTAGGGAATATTACCACAGACACGAATAAAATATAAAAGTTCAAATTAATAAACAACAACAAGCATTTAAGCATATTTTTAGTTTTTACTACCATGAGTACGTTATAAATTTCTTATAAATCTTAAGTTTGACATTATTTCCACCTCAATACAGAAAAAATGTTTTAAAAGATTGCCATTTCTTCGTATTTCAATTATATTTTTAACTCTTTAAATTAGTACGAAATACTTTTACGACTGTATTAAATACACTTAAATATTTGCTTCGATCATTAATTATTCTTTGGCATTAGTCTTGTGTCTAAAACTCTTTGTAAAACGAATACTGAAATTCCCACTCGAAATAGGAACTTAAAATTCATCTATGTGGGTTACAAAAGGCGCTAAACTAGAATCGGACTCTAAGGCGGTTCCATGATTCAATTTGTCAACCACGAAAGCAACAATGGTGACATCTTGGAGCCAATTTGTCAACCAACTTGAGGTCGGGGCGACAATAGCAACAGACGCGTCCCGAGCGACTAAACCCCCTGAAATCCCTGCAACTTTGGCAAACCATTCTGGATTTGAATATTAAATATATTTATAAAATGTGGTCTATAAAAATGGTAGGGATGAAGTCCATAAACAAATCCACAGACCACTATGATTCTATTGAAAGTGAAACTACTCCAAGTACTTAATAAGTATTTTGATGACATGGCCTTTGTATTACCAAGACGCCTAAAAATTGCTAATAATACCCGTTTATAGTGATGATTTCAATTGTGTTCAGCAATTATTTAACCATTAATTGGCGCGATCTTCACACTGTTCTTGAATATCCTAATTCTCCTAAAGATCGTCATATTTCTAAATGAAAAAGTACACTTATTAACAAACACATACACAAACACGTGCACAAACTAAATAACAGAAACACATCATCTTCATGTCATGCTTGGCCACGTGATGGTGGTCTTCAGCGAAAGATCATCAAAATACAAGAGCCCTAAGCCTCGGTCTCGGGACAAAAAGAGCCAATATTTACACATTTTTATTAAAAATAAGAAAACAATTAAATTATAATGAAGGAAAACATGATAATTATGTTTTCCTTTATAATTAGTACCTATTTCCATTTTGAAATTATTACAAAAGTGGTTTTACCACAAACCAAGATGCTAAAATGAAAAAGCAACACTTGAAAGGGCACTGTTGAAAGGGAAACTCGTAATCAACTACAAATTAAACTATTTATTAAGACATTTCTGAAATAATTCAATGTAAAGTGGTTAATACCCGTAAACAGTTTGGGATAAACCGGACAAACACGAAGAGCAGAGGCTCAAGAGAGCTCTGAACCAATTTGTCAGCGTGGCTTAACCACAACCCTCTAGACATCTGTTGGGTCCCAAGAGAATTGAGATCACTTGCACCACTAACTCATCGAACCACAAGTATACAACTTGCTTGACATCTCTCCTTTGTGTGTAATTACTTGTTGAACACTACTCACTATGTTATAGCTTGTTGTATACTCCTTAGTAACTCATTAAATCACAAGTATAGAACTTGCATGACATCTCTCCTTTGTGTGTTATTAATGTTAAAGCTTGTTGTTTATTCCTTAGTAACTCATTAAATCACAAGTATACAACTTGCTTGACATATCTCCTTTGTGTGTAATTACTTGTTGAACACTACTCACTATGTTATAGCTTGTTGTATACTCCTTAGTAACTCATTAAATCACAAGTATACAACTTGCTTGACATCTCTCCTTTGTGTGTAATTACTTGTCGAACACTACTCACTATGTTATAGCTTGTTGTATACCCCTTAGTAGCTCATTAAATCACAAGTATACAACTTGCTTGACATATCTCTCCTTTGTGTGTAATTACTTGTCGAACACTACTCACTATGTTATAGCTTGTTGTATACCCCTTAGTAACTCATTAAATCACAAGTATACAACTTGCTTGACATCTCTCCTTTGTGTGTAATTACTTCTTGAGCACAACTCACTGTAAAGCTTGGTTTATACACCTTAATAACTCATCAAATCGAACAATGACGATACAATTTGCTCCGTAACCCTCTTCTGGATATTTTAACTTATCACAACTTATACATTAATATTAGCCACAAGTATCCATCTTGTTTTACCACCCTCAAAAATTTAATAAGCATTTTTCCTGCTGTGAATTGTTTGTATATAAACTTATGATTTATAACGATCTTCAGGACAAAATCTAATTATTTTCCCCCGATCTTTCCATTTCGAAGCGAATTTGGGTATATTTGTTTCAATTTTTATACTATACGATAGTCTTGTTTCCTCACACGAAACGAAGTAGATGGTTAAATTTTTATTTTGTTGTGTTGTCAATTTGCCAATTTTTTTATTCCTAAATCCTTAACGATTTCAAGTTTTTATTTGATGGATTTATAATCTTGCACTTCTAAAAGTATATGAATTAAGTTTTGATTAGCTGAGCTTACTGCGCAATTCAAGTTATATATTTTATATGCTGTTTTTATTTCTTATGTTTTTTCTTTGGTGGTTTTGTGACTTCACAATAAATAGACATTATAGATATGACTAAAGATATATCCATTCATTTATCCATGTCAGTGCCAATCAAATCTTGCAGATGTTGCGATTGTTGTTCGTTTTCGTATAAATTAATATTTAATCAAATCAAAAACGTACAGATTTCAACAGCCTAAGATCTGTAGTTTCTACAGCCTTTATGACTCTTTCAGTGTGATTGTGATTGTGTACAAACAATGATCTACTACTGGGTTAAGCGCAATTTAAAGTGTAAGTGCAAGTCCAAGTGTTGATGTAGTTTGGAGCTATGGTTGGTTCTTCTGCTCCCCAGCAGATCGCCTTGATTTGCCTTCTCATGTCCTCGACCTTCTGCATATCTTCCACTGTAGACCAAGGTAAGAATTAATATTGTTGTACCTTTTATAAGATTATTTCTGTTTTTCAATCGAAATTTATATAATTCATTTTTAGTAAATATTGTTTTGTATCTTTAAAGAAATTACTTAAAAAGGGATGATGAATGGGAAATTAAAATTTGTCCCAACGTAAATATAAAATCATTCCCGTCATAACGTTTTGATATACAGGGTGGTTGGTCATCAGTGTTACAAACATTTTTTTGTGTAAATACAATGTAAATTGAGTGTTATGATGCATATTACGGGTTCCGAGTCAAAAAATTTGCTTACCATAGAATGTTTTTTTTTTATATAACACAATACAATGTTTTTAAACACAATACAGCAATTTCTCAATTAACTTCAAACGGATTTGCGTAGATGATGTCATGTTCTTGTCTTACGTTAAATTTTTAATAAGAATCATTGTAAACGTAAGAGGATCAATTAAAAAAGCTCCATTGTAAATCGTTCAAAAGGAAAAATTAGGGTCTTTATAAAAATCATTGGTCTATTGCATTTTTCTACACCCTGTATACAAGAAGGTAGCAACAAATTTGGAAAACTGCGCCATTCATAAGGCTTCCCAACCATGCTACACTGTTGAGGTTTGGATCTGCTTATTTTTGCTTTAATGGTTTGAAGACTCCAAAACACAGGGTTTTTACATTTTAAACAAAGTAGGGATGTATTCAGCATAGTCCAGGCATTTTAGGTAGAATACCCCTCTGCCTGGAATTTCCTAAGTGGTGAAACTTTGCACATGTGTTGTACTAGTACCCCGTAACAACATATCAAAAATCAACATTCGTGTATACAGTGCTACGGCCACCATCATGGAAAATGGCGTCCAATTTTCATACTTTTGCTGCCTTTTTGTCAATATTTTACCAACTAATGGAAATACAGAAATCTTCAAAAAACAAAAGTTGAAGAACGCACTAAAATGCATCTATTCTATATTTGCCCTATCTATAACGGTTATTTAGAAAATTTAATTTAATATTAATAAAACATCAATTTAGTTTGATTTCTTTCAGTTTATTATTTTTTTTTATATCCATAACATTTGGTTTAACGAGTTCCTAGGTTTGCTGCTACAGGTAGAACAATAAAGTGTGTTTTTCCACCATTTTAAGGAATTATTTCCACCGAAAACCCTAATATGACTGGACTAGCAAAACTTGTATTTTTGTTTCAGTTTGAACTGTACAAACGTAAAAACAGTAAAATAATCCTTGTGTTTTCTAGTATTCAATCCACTGGAACAAGCAAACGGAGGTGACCTATAGTCCGATTTTGACGAAATGTTGTATGCAGGTACTAATCCATGGTATCTCCACGCGTTTTTTCATTTTTTTGAAATTTAACCATAAAAACCCGTAAAATAACGGAAAAATCTGATTGTCCCAAAAATGGCCCAAACGATTTTGATGAAAATTTAGTATGTTGTAGCCCTTTAAATTCTGAATAAAATGGTAGGACTCCCATTTTTATAAAAATTACGGTTAAATTTTTATTGCACATTATGTTATTTACCCATAAAACCCCCATAAAATAAGAGAAAATCGTATGTTCGAAAGACATCCGGCTTAGATTAAAATTAGTATGTGGTAATACTTATAATTCCAAACAACATAGTGCAACCCCCCTCCCCCTGCGGTTTCGGGGTTAGAATAGAACCGCAGCCTTCCCGGGCTTGTCGTAAGAGGCGACTAAAAGGGTGACCGACGCTCTCACTGGGAGTCCCTGGGAGTGCCCCTGTTGTGTTTGCAGGGGTTGATGTGTGCTCTGCACTGCCGATGGGTATTCTCAGTGAGTCGTGAGAAGCCAGCCACTTCGGTCCTTGGTCAGGGAGTGCGGCATGGATGTAGAGGTCGGGCTCTACATTGTGACGGGTGACCCCCGGCACGTCAGGTATCCGGTGCTGGGAAAACGGAGGTTGGGCCTCGGGGAACTGGGGTAGGGGCGCTGTCCCCGAGGGTATACCCGTTCCTGACTATTCCGGGCCGCCCCTTGCCGCACGATGCGCTGGTAAACACAAGATGGCTTTTAAAACAAATACCCTGAACACATCTTTGATAAGTAGCTCGGATGAGCAAGAAAAGAAGTCGGAAGTAGAGCGAGACCCTTTTGGGCGAAGCTCCAAGGTCCAGAGATCGCCAACATTGAAAGGCGTGAAGACGTCCCCACCACCTGCAACTTTCAGGTGTACAAAAGACTTGACTTTGGGATCTCCCTTGACAAGTGGAGAAGGAAACGGTGGACCACCCTCTAAGTCTGGTGAAGGGATGCCGGAGGAATCCCTAACAGCAGCGTTAGATTTGGAAGTGTCGGGAATGGTAATATCTAGCAATATCTTGACGCAGAAAATGACATTGAAAACCGGCTCCGAAACATGGAGCAGACCATAAAGGCAATGCTTGAAACCTTTAAGACGCAGAGAGGAGTTAACCAAGTGGTTAAAAATGGTATGGCTAAGCTCGAGGACGACCTTGGTTTTGTCTTCGCCTGCCGGCTGGTGAGCAAGGCGGCCATGGAAAGGATCGCCGAGAAGGTGGTGTCCCTACCTGACGACAATGCGCGACCTTCCAAGAAACGCAGGAGGCCTACATCAGAAAGCCCTCCAAAAAGAGGTTGTTCAGACAGCAAAGCCTAAAGTTAAGGTCAAGGCGACCCAGACTTCTAGGTCCTTCTCTGACGTAGTTGCCGCTCCAGCGAAACCTCAACAGCCACAGCAACCTGCGACACTCATTGAGGGTAGCTCCCGAAAGGGGTCAGTCGTAGAAACACCATCTGGGACTGTGTGGGAAAAGCGCCTTACGAAAAAGGAGAAGAGGAAATTGAGGCACGCGGAAGTCGGCTCCAAGACATATGTGGCAGTGAGGGCGCAGTCGACCGGCGTGGCCCAAGCTGTGCCTGGCTCGGCACTCGCTTCTAAAAAGTCGCGGCCCAAAAAGCCTAGGACTGAGGCAATTTTGGTCAAGCCTTTGGAGGGAAGATCATTCGCCGAAGTCTTGGGTGTTATCAAGGCCAAGGCTAAGCCAGAGCAAACCGACACGGTTGTACGGTCGATTAGACAAACCCGGGACGGGGACGTCCTCCTCGAACTGGGTAAGTCTAAAGATAAAGCCGCCTTTGCTGCCAAACTAAAGGCAGCTGTGGAAGGTCAGGGCACCGTTCGTGCTCTCGAACCCAAGACGTCCGTCGAGGTTCGGGATATGGATTGTGTGTCAACGGAGGATGACGTCATTGATGCCCTAAAAAAGCTGTCCCCGAGCTTGCCGGACAAACGGCAAGTCTGAGGGTGTGGCTCACGAAACCAAACCGGAGTCAACAGCGGATGGCGGTTGCCGAGATGGCAGACGCAAATGCCAGTAAGGTTTTGGCACTCCAGCATTTGAGGGTTGGATGGGTTAATTGCAGGTTGAGACGGAGGGTGGAAGTAACGAGATGTTTTAAATGATTTGATTTCGGCCATTCCTCCCGAAACTGCGAAGGGCCCGACCGAGGCAAGAACTGCCTTCGATGCGGGGAGGTGGGTCACACTCGTAGGGACTGTAAAGTCGAGACCTGTTTCCTCTGTAAGGAGAAAGGCCTCAATGATAAAAACGCTAAACATATAGCTGGGTCTGGGCAGTGCAGTGCATTTAAAGGCGCACTACAACAAGCGAAAGCCCAACCACGAAAATAAGGATCCTCCAGTGCAATGTAGATCGATCCAGGACGGCTGATGCGCTTCTCAGTCAGCTTGCCCTCGAACACGGTGTTGACGCGCTCTTGGTCAGCGAACAGTACCAGTACCGGGACAGGGACCCATCTCTTTGGTTTCCCGATACACTTGGTACTGCTGCGTTCTGGGTTCGTAATACAGCTAAAGTGCAGGTAAGAAGTCACGCGAAGGGCCGAGGATTCGTTTGGGTCCGGTGCGGGAATGTCACTTTCTTTAGTGTATACCACACCCCCAACGAGGCTATCCGTGACTTTCGTGGAAAGATAGACCGCCTGGAAGAGAGCGTGCGCGATACCGCCGGGCACGTTGTCGTGGCGGGGGATTTCAATGCTAGGGCTGTCGAGTGGGGAATGACTCTCACTAATTCCCGGGGGAAGTACATCCTGGACTTTGCTGCCAGGGCTGGACTTGTTGTCATAAACGAGGGCAACACGCCAACTTTCCAGCGTCCCGGAATGAGGGGAACGATCCCAGACATCACGCTTGCATCTGAGTCCCTCTTGCCGAGGATACGAGCCTGGAAAGTGCTAGAGGATTATACGGCCAGTGACCACCAGTACATCATTTTTGATGTCCTGGATAGTCATCAGAGACAAGCTACCGTGTCTCGGCAGGTGAAGGGACCTGTGTACTGGTGGACAACCGAGATCGCAGAAGTGCGACGGGCAGCATTGAGAGCCAGACGTCTTGCTACCAGGGCCAGAGAACCTGAAGATAGACGTCTTAAGTCTGACGCTTACAAGGTGGCTAGGAAGTCTCTTCGCCGGGCCATTAACCGGAGCAAACGCAGTTGCTGGGAGAAATTAAGGGACGATGTCGATTCCGATCCGTGGGGCCTGGGTTACAAGATAGTAACCAAGAAGCTTGGCACCCGCTCTCCGCCTTCCGTTATGGACGGGGTCTATGGAGAGGATCGTAAAGTCCCTTTTCCCGACTCACACACTGCGCCCATTGCGGGAGTTCGGAAGGGTGGAAGACGTACCGCTGTTCAGTCTCGAGGAGTTGGAGGCGGCCGTTCTATCCCTGAAGAACAACAAGGCTCCTGGACCGGATGGGGTACCTGGTGAGGCCCTGAAGAAAGTCTTTTCAATAAATCCACAAATCCTTTTGAGCACGTACAATGCCTGTCTGGCCGAGGGTAAGTTTCCCTTCTGCTGGAAAACAGCTAGGCTTGTGCTCGTGGGGAAGGGAAAAGGAAACCCAGACCTACCCTCCTCTTACAGTCCTCTCTGTATGTTGGACACTGCTGGGAAAGTCTTGGAAA